CAAAATGTCCAGTGTGTCTATACCCTATGCTTGAATAAATTTAACCCCATAATATTTTCATCTTGATCCCAATGACCTGATTTCTCTTTTGTGAAAGGTTAAAAGGTCTTTCCCGGGTGCCAAAACACTTTATATACAGATAAGCCCCTGAGATGCATGGGTGTTATTGTAATCTTAGTTATTAACAGTTGTTCCATAAAGGGGTCCTTTAAGGCCATATATGCACATTTAGGGGCATTACCAGATGTTCAGGGTGTACGTTGTGGTTTGTATACTTCTTTTGCTGTATTTGTATGTCTGCAATGAAAGAGACAAAAAGAAAAAACACACAAGAGGATCACAATGAAGTGTTTTATTTAAGGTCAAACAGAAATTGCAGAACTCATCATAGGCACAGTAACTTACTCATAATTAGCTATACACTGCAAAATATATTGGCATGTAGCACAGCAGCACATACAAGCACCACAAGCAGAAAACAGAGTGAAACAAAGAAACAGCAGTCACGTTCAAGTCTGCCCAAGAGTGTCAGAGTTTTTTATGGCTTAGTCCTGAACAGTCTTTGGCCCTCATCACCTTCCACGGGGGTGTCGTTCAGTCGGCGATTGTACCCAATTTAAAAAATAAGTTGTGGACTCAACAGAGGATGTAATTAAATTGATATGATTGGCGCACGCTCAGTTCACGTGGCGGTTTTAGTCATTGAGATGTAGAACCTAAAAGTCCAGTTTGCACATTAAAGGCACAATCACAACTAAAATGAATCGTAACAATACAGTGATTTAAAACCCACAGCATGTACTTAAACTGGGACAGCAATGATGAGGGGAGCCGGTGAGTCAGTAGAGACGCTTTGGTGAGTTGTGGGTACACGTCGTTCAGAGACCCGTCCCTGCTCACAAACTCTTTGAAGTCAATATTCAACAGTCAGAGGGCTGTGAACCGATTCTCCAGGATGACTCAGTCAGTTCAACACTAGGAGAAGTGCCATGGCAACAAAATCGCTGGCTTTGGGGGCAAATAAAGAGGATCACATGTTCAAATCAGCAGAACCAGAGTCATGTGAGGATGCTGCTGCTGCTGCTGGGAGAGGAAAATATTGGAAAAGCCGTTTGTTTGCAATTTAGTCTAAAATCCTGAGGAGAATTCAGATTTATTGTTGTTTTGGTTAATGACAAGAAACAGGAGAGTTTAAAAAAATTACAAAATGACAAAGATGAAGGAGAATTTAAATCTCTGTTCCTCTGTGGTCAGATTTAATATCGGCTCCTATTTTGTTTTTTTCCAGCCTGCAGATGGAGCTACTCTGTGCTTTATTTCGGTGCTTTACTGGAGAGAGGAATGTGTCTGCATGTCATCTGCTCAGATTAGGTTCTTACATATGATCCACCTCTCCTGTTTGATGTCAGGGTCGCATATTATTAAACCACAGAGGATCATTCAACTGAAGTGAACTGAAAAAAAAAATAGCTTTATAAAGCAAATCATTTGTAGTTTACAGCTAGGCAGTGCCATGCTTAGCAAAGAACAGGGCTCTAGCAACAAACAAAAGGGCAGATGTAAGAAAACAATAGACATATCGTTAACAATATATTGATTAGATTTTTTTTAATTGACTCTTTTATCTGTATTTATTCAAAATAAATTTTGAGTATTCTGACATAGTTATGTACATAAGTGCAAACAAGGTGAACATCACACATTCGTATACACCTCAGTGAGGATCGACATCACCCAGCACAGCTGGGCAGTAAGAGACCTCGAGACCACCTTCTTGGCCAAAACCTGAGCCAGATCTCTCGGTCTGTAGGAGGCAAACGGCAAAAACCGCTCGCCTCCACAGAAAAAAGATCTTCCAGTTAGTCCAAGGGTCTCTTTACCTCCCTGACAGATGTTTGCTCTAAAAGCCAGAGTTCATTCCTATTTCTCAAAAACACCATGTACAAGAAGAAAAAACCTAAATATAAAATGAACGTCAAATAAACAAAACAAAATAAACGGCTGACCTCCCCTAAGGACCTTTGGATATTACAAGGATTAAAGTTTTTTCAATCACGTTGCAACAAGACAAACTAATAATTAGACATTCCCTTTTCGGATAGGTTAGTTAGTGCTGTATGTCATCTCAATTATTGTGGAAAAAAAATCACTACTAGGATAATAAAAAGGTAGCCATGTTGTCATTTTGTTGCCATAGCAACAGCAACCATTACCATTAACAATGACTCCATCATTGTGTACAAACGATTTTCATATCATAATGTTTTTCATATTGGTCTACACAAACTATTAACTACATATAAATGATTTTTTTGTTGTCATTATTGTTATTATTATTTTCATGCCGCGTTTTTTTTTTTATGTCAGAAAAAAAAATCTTACATTTATTACATTTTCATACACATCTGTGACATATGATCGAGGATTAAGGCCCTTTGTTTGTATTCTCAGGACTGAGTTAACTGTGTCCACATGCTGAAGGATCTGATCACAGGACAGCGAAGATCAGAGCTCTGCACACGTTGAACAGTTATGATTCAGGACCGTGTGGGGAAAAAAAATTACAACCAGGCCCAAAGGTAATCAAGTACAAGAGAATGAATGAGGGAACAAAATTAAGAGGTAAAAACATTGTTTGTATTTTTTTTTTACTCATGGTGCTCCACAATCCTCAAATTAATACACTCTTGAGCCTTAATAGATACATTTAAATGTATTTAAAAACCTCAAATGCCCTCGAGAGGCACAGTTTATTAATCAAGTATTCTGTTTTTCCAGCTGGACAGTGAAGGCATACTGATGTTAGGGGTAGGGTCACTTAAGGAGGGGATTGGCTGGACGAAGCTAGTCTTTAGAAAAAGGGACCTGTCTGGACATTCTGATCATCAGGTTCATAGAGACAGCTATGAGCCTACATACTGTTTGATCCACCATGCAGATAAAAAGTCAGCTATACTTTAAAAAATACTTTATTCAACTATTTTGGGAGATACACTTATTCACAAGATTTTATATCACTCTTATGTCTGTATAGTAAATATGAAGCTTAAATCAGCTGTATGGGGCACTAGCCTGTTTCCATACAAAGTGGAGCTACACAGATAAATTAACAGGTATTAGGTTATTACAAATAAGGTGTCCTCTAAAAGTATGTAAACTGAAATAGATATTTTAAACCTCAGTTTTAGCATTTTAGGATGAAAGCATTGCATGAGATAAAATACAGACTGGCTTTAGCTTTTATTATGTGCTATTTAATACACAAACAGCACAGAAATAGATAGTTATGCATCTTGATATTTGTAGACCAGTTCAGTAGCGTTTACTTTAGGCTACCTTTTCACTGTTCAGTCAACATGCTTTCATATGGCTTCTGATGTAGAGGATCTGTGGATTTGTTCTCTGCTCGGTCTGTTTGACCTCAGCACAGCCTCTGATACTGTCGACCATGATACTTTCCTTAGTAGACCTATGGTTTCCATTTGACTAACCTTCTTCTTATTTATCTGCAAGGCTCAGATAAATGCGAGGCTCAATCCTGAGCCAGCTGGCATCATTCAGGGTTTTTCAGAAGTTTCTTATCGTTTCTATGCAGATGACATTTACTTATACGTCTATCATTTTCTATTATATTTTATTGTGATTTTTCACAGTTTTTATTTATTTTACACTATTTTTTGCCAAGCACTTTATAACTTCATTTCTGTGACAAGTGCTTTTATAAATAAACTTTACTTACTTATATACTATATAAGAGCTAAAGCCACCTACTGTTTTGTCTCATTTTTGTGCTTTAATAGCAACTTCAGATGCACAAATTATCCAATAATATCTGTTAACGTACTTATAGAGGGCACTCTATTCTTGTTTAAGTTGGCTTAAGTTATTACAAACATTACGCAGTTTGTCCAAAAGCTAACTTTTAGTTACCTAAAAGGTGTAAACACCTTCCATGCAAGACTGCACATTTAATCTTTAAAATGGATATAAAGAGGGCACTCTGTAGTTTTATAGATGTTTTCCTCCTGTAATTATTTCTTCATGGACAGTTTACAATCCATCTGGGTTATATTGCTGGTTGCCTGGCAACCTCACTGTTCACAAGCAGTCACGATGTGTAATGCGGTTGTTTTTGCACAACTGTTTATTAAGGTGTGCTGGCCTTTTCTCTGTGTTAACTAGCAGCTCTTTCCAGCTTAGTATTAGCACAGAAACATAAGAGCAGCTCAGATCTTCTGTCTTTAAAAAAAAGTAAGCAGATATGTGTACTTTTTCTTAAACTGCCACAAATACGCCATTTGGGGCATTTAGATGGTCAGGAGGGAAAAGCTTTTACACGCCCAAAATGAGGGTTAATCCCAGGATTATACCTGGTGCTGAACTTGCAGCTCTGGCTGGGTGGGTTTTCTGCACAGTTATGTCTCCACAAAGCCTTTCCACACCAAAAGTTAACAGAATCAGGGCTGCAGTACTGGGACAAGGGAAATACATGTGAGAAAAAAAGTAGCATGCTGACTTTCTGCCTAATGAGAATATGCTTTGTTTATAGTGCTTTGGATACTACAGAGGGTAGGGGTAGAAAAACTGACTAGCAATAAATGGTACTGAAATGTACCTGAATTGTGTACATTTGTACTTCAAAGAGTACAGCAGTCTGCTCTACCTTTTCTGACAGTGAAAGATATTTCTAAAAGTAGTCACACCACCCATTAACATTAAATATAAATCTATATAACAATACACATACTTTAATATGTCTTAACACAGTTTCATCATGGTACCTACAGTATGTGACCTCTGAAATAGTCTATATAGAGTGAACCATTACATTTCAGCATGCCTGTCTTTTAGAAGGGCATGTGTAAAGTTTTTGCATTAGATACATTCACGACACATTAACATTATTTAAAATGAATAATGTTCAATGGGAGATGTGTAATATCTGCAGCATTTACATCTAACCAAATATGTGATCCATCGTCTTTTCTGACACACGTATGTATGCACACAACTCTCTGATTTATTTCCTTACATTGACAGTAAGACAGCACAGCTGTCTCAGAGAAGAAACTGATACAAATGTGATTTCATATTATAATAATGTACCAAATAACACATCTGTCTTTGAGCACTGGTCTGGTCTTACAGTGTACTGACAGTTTTGTTTGAGGAGACTTGAAAGAGGCACATTTGAATTTGGATATAAGTGATTTCAGCCCAGTTTCCAAAGCTGTTAAGTTCATTTTTTTGTATACACCTACAAAGCAATTCCTTACACACTTGAAAGTCCCCCCCAATTTTTTTTTCACCATCAGACATCAAGCATGAGAATTGTTCATCCTTTTCTACAACTTGATTCTGGTTATAAGAATATTTAGAGTCTCGTCATTTTTGACAAACAGGACAGCAGTAGAAAGACATGACATTTTAAAGTCAGACAGGACATTTTCAAGTTCGAAGCTTTCTCCCTGCAGAACCATAAAACATAAAAATCTTGTGCCACTTATTTAGTCCAAAAGCCACATTAAACAAACAGCCTTTTGAAATACATCTCTGCATTAGAGAGGGAAACATTTATTTGGAGGATTTATCCAGATATTGCATTAAACGGGCAGTTCCTTGCATATACCGCAGACTTTAGGCACAACAAAAGGAAACCGATCTCGCTTCCATCTTGTGCAATAACTGACATCAGGTGTAAAAGTTTAAGTGGCATTTACAGGCGAGCTGAACACACACAGAATCGGTTTCAAAGAGTGTTCAGGTTTCAAATCACAGAGGAAACAGGATGAACCTTTCCTTTTTTAGTCGTTACACAGCTACCCATCACAAAAGAAACACAATCACTGATCGGAAATCACGATTCAAGAAACTTCACAGCTCAGGTTTATCAGTTTTGACGATTGGAGCTGTCTGGTCTATTACTGGAGAGTACTATACAGAGAGGGGCCCTTACATAGAGAACATAACCTCAGCTGCTTTAAGGCAGTTTATTTAACACATCCTAAAGATATCCCTCATCCCATCTTCTTTATAAGAAGTAATTACATACTAAGTTACTTTCACCCAGTCTACATTTTTCAATAAAACAGGGGGGGGCGAATCATTCATTGCATTTAAGAAACTCTAATATACATTTTAAGAGGCATTTGCTGTAACCAGTAGACTTTATCCCAATAGCAGCTACAGGCTAATACACTCTATTTACGTAACTAATTCTTCTTTGAATTATTTTTGGGACACTAAGTCTCCTCTGCAGCTGAGCAGAAAAAATCAAAGGCACAAACAAATGAACAACAACCCCTTACTGACGTATCACCAGGCAAAATGAGACCATGATGACAGACTGAGCGGTACACGTCGTACAACACAAATGTCACATTTGCACTCATCTTGAAACGTAAACGTGACATGATATGAAACACTCTTTCACTTTGACAGCCCGTCATGGTTGGAGCTGGTCCGTCTGAATTTTCTACAATGAACTTCTCAGAGTTTCTTACTTTGGAACAGTCAAATGTGTTGGGTGGCCTCATGTGATGGCTCCGACCCATAAAGGGCATTTAGTCTTGAATATATATGTGTGTGTGTGTGTTTATGTGTGCGCACATGTGCTGCACTTTTAAGGTGTGGGCATGTATGGCTGTAAGGACGAGGGAGCTCTATTGCTCGCCCCGATCGAGTCAGTATGCATCAGGGTGGCTGCTTTAAAGCAACGGTAATACGTCCGGGTCTGTATTGCATGAACCATCGCAGCTCTCTTACGTTCACAACATGATATCAGTCGGTGTGCACTGTGGGCGAGGCACATGTTTGCTGCAGTGCTCGGGGTTTATGGGACTTTAACTGGGGTTTCGGGAAAGGCTTACTGAGTTTAGTGCCACAGGAGCTGCCACCAGCAGTTTGGGGACGGGGCAGAAATGGGTTTCCATGGGAATGCACTGGAGCTCCACCGGATCTGAAGTCAGAAGCTCCGAGGGGTCTACTGGAAGAGAGAGGGGGGGGGGAAGAGGAGGAGGAGGAGCTGTGAGTTCTTACAGACACAAACATATGCAGGCAAACCTCTGTAGCAGATTATTTTATACTGATATCTGTGCTTAATTATAATGGTCTTTTAAAATTATGGGCAAAGCAAATAGTCAAGTTAGCACTGAAGTTGTTTTTATAGATGTTAATGCCGAATGCGTGTTATCACCTCACTTTACACCTTTGCTTGTTTGAATCTTCACATCAAAAAGAGAGAGGGTTGGGTGTAACATCTCAGGAACGAAAGTTTACAAAATCTGTGATACCTAGTCGACTAGTTATGCACTCATCCATAGTAGCAGCAGGTTAGTTCAAAATCATGGACTGGTATGATGCTGGTAAACCGAAAGAATGCAAATTTAGTTCATTTCAGGTAAATTCCATTAAAGCTGCATAGTAGAGTCGAGCCACATGTGATTTCATCTTAAATGTGAAACATTTTTTCCTGCTGGTTTTGACAATCAAAATCCCCATCATGTTTCGTAAAAATCAAAGCAAACGGACTTCTGTTTTAGCTGTAAGTAAACAACAAAAAGCAGCAAACACCACCAGTCAAAGGATTTTAGAGCGCTCTCATTTTTATACATATTACATTGTGTAATATCTCAGTGCATAATGGTAATGGTTAATCCTTCAGTTTGTGCAAGCTCTTAAATCAAAGTGATATTTTTATTGCTAAAATATCAAATTTACTGCTTTACAAAAAAGCAGAAAGAATTAGTAAAGCACATTATTATTTTTTGATCGAGATGGTAAATTACAGCTATTTACTAGTTTTGGTGGTTGAATGCTATCTAACGCTTGATTAAGTGTGCTGGCTCAAATTCGGGAATAAAAACGTGAATTCAGTTTGTTGTTTGCCAAATAAATAAAAACATAATTTTTAGTTTTAAGCAAGTTTTTGACAGATTTCTAAAACATTTGTGCTTTTTTTGGTGTTTTGTCAGGTGGTCTAACAAATTTGTGAAGCACTGTGGCCACTTTCAGTTGTTTCCTTATTCACGAGAGGTCACCACAGCAGGTAGCTTTAATTTGGCAGATTTTCTACTCTGGATCCCCTTACTGATGCAGCCCCAAAGGGATCTGGATCTCCTCCTGGGATCAAACCGGGACTCCTTCACTTGTTAGGTGGGCTCTGGGCTTTAATTTCAGTGATCACTGGGACATAAAAGAAAACACACATAAAGAATGAAGAGGCAAATTTGATAAAAAACTGCTTAAAATTTTGTGCCAAAATTAAGGTTTAACAAGCATTTTTCATCTTTTTGTGTTGTGGATTTTTTTTGTCACATATCTCTTGTAACGTCTGTGTTGTACCGGTCTTTCCACAGTGGCGCACACATCAATGCACTTGCGGGTTGACCTGTCTGGTTAATCGAAGTTAAACTCTCTGTCCAGTTTGTTTCTTCAGAAATTTCAGGTCTCTGTGCCGCTGTGGGATAAACTGCAGACCCAGATTGCTTCAACCCTGTATTATATTTGATACACAAGTTTTTGTGAGTTTTTGAAATGTCTGCATCGTCAGTGTTGTTTTATTCCCTCTCAAAAACAAAATGTTTTAAGCAATAAAACATACCACATATAGCAAATTGATATTTATTTTCTTTTTTAATTTGTCAGAAGGTTCAATAAACGCTCCAGTTTCAAAGAGAATAAAACATTTCTGGCCATTTTCAGGCTTTTCTGGGCCAACGGTGCATCAGAGGGTGTAGATTGTTCCTGTACAGACCAAGGGTTTCTAGTATTTGAGAAAAGTTGGGACACTTACAGGTGAATTTATTAACTTCCAGAGCTGCAGGAAAGCTGTAGTTCAACCAGTTTTCTTAAACTTAGACTTATTTTTTAATAAATTTACACATTTTTCTTTTCCTTTTTCCTTTGCTGGTGACCTGCTGACCTTCGTACCATTCAAGTTTATTAGAAATTTAAATAATGAGGGTGCCCTAAATCATTTGACTGGTAGGTTGTATCCAAGCAAATTAAGTTACTGTTTGGCTGCAAACATTAATTTTTATATGATATATATTTTTTAACAGAGATGAGAGCTGGCATGCTTTAATGCCAGGCCACATACTGCACACAGTAACGACTGAGACAGACATGATGTGATTCAACACCAAACAAAGACACTCAGATGAAAACAGTTGTCAATTTCAAGATTCCTCTCAAAACGAGTTGTTTTCATTTGCTCGCATCATAAGAAACAGAAACGTGAGGAGAGATGAAATGTGAAGATAACACGTGACACTAGACAGTGAACAGGACTGAGATCCTACAGAGCTAAAATCAAAAGAGGACTGAAATGAAAGAGCAAACCTGATTCGAGGCGGCAGATTCAGCGAAAGGAACATTGGTGACTGGGGTCGAGGCCGACGAAACAGTGGAGGTGGTGGCACCGTGCATCATGGGAACTTTTATTCGGGCGAGTCAGACGAAAGACAGAGGACGAGGATATGGGCGGGGAGGAGGGAAGGGGAGGGGAAGGGAGGGGGAACAGGAATGATATGGTTACCATGGCAAAATGTGTAGGATCAAAAGTCATGGCACAAGTCAAGTGATATTGCCAGGATGAATTTGAACAAGTACCAGGACACATGCAAACAAAATCAGAGATAAAAGGGGAAAAAAATACATATTTAAATAGCTGACAGGATACAAAATTAAAAAAAATTAATTGCTCACCAACAAAATGGCAGTTAAACAAACAAAGCAATACACAGTCATACAATCTAATCAGACTGGAGTATCTGATAATTGTATTGAATGGACGGAGCATGTGTATGGAAAGAGCAAATGATCCATAAGAAATACTTTTATTCCTTTCGATTACAATGTAAGAGAAATCCTGAGAATTTAGTAATTTAATGGCAATCATATTTTATCGTTGCTCTGAAGTCCTGAGCTGAAGGTGCTAAAGACTGAAAGTACTGGTCCATTTTTATCCTCACTTGAGTCGCTTTTTATTATTATTATTATCATTATTATTATTATTATTACTAACTAAACAAAAGGCAGTGGAACAAATCAAAGTTTAGTTGACTACTTGCAAAGACCAACAAGTCTGAAAACAGCACACATGCTGTCTAAGATGTATAATACTATTAAGATTCTCAATTGGTGTGTGTCAGACCAACCAAACTCACATATATGAACATAAGCCTGAAATATGTACACAAAACATGCACTGTGCTATTGTCCATCATCATACACAGCACAGCTGTGGCTCTGCAGCAACATTAGAAAGCATCTCTCACACCCAGAGGCGATAAGGTCATCGTCTCACTGCTCCACAGAAACATATAGTTGATTCATACCTTGAGCTGGAGCTTTTCAGCATAAACAAGAACTGAAATTGTCACATTTAATCTAATATGTTGCTTTTAATTGCACTTTTATCAATGTAACTTTAAAAGGGGTTTTTTATATTGACTTTGTATTGTCTCCGGCATGATCAGTTACTTGATTGTTGTGTTTTCCTTGACCTGTCACCCTGGACAGGATGTGCACTTCTGTAATCTATGGCAGGATGCAGGACAGTGACAACATCCACTTGTGGATTCATTATACAATAGATCGGCACTGTGACACTCAAACTGGTGTTTTCACCCCAGCTTCTTAATTATAGCTCGACTGAGGACTGTGAGGATGTATACACTGGGATTAATGTCGTCATACATGAAGAGTAGGGACACCAAACACTGTTATTGCTTTTATGTTCTATTTGTACATTTAGCAAGTAGGAAGGATATAATGAAATTATGTTTTTTTGGTTGCATTGTGAGAAATGTAGTAGTCAGAAGTTTTCATACACTCATCATTGTGGTCATTTTGGGCTGGTAGCTTCTCTTTGCTCACTCACTGGATTGCCCAACACAGAGCTACACCTGCTTGTTGATGACTGCTAAAAGCATTTGGTTGAGGTGGAATCTGTTAAGGAATATTTAACCAAAATATTAGCGGGTTTGTTATGTGTATATAACTGAGAGTGTTTGTTTACCTGTGTGGATTAGAGCAAATCCCCAATAAATTCAAACTTGTGCAACAAATTATTGTTTTTTAAAGCCATTAAAGAGCTATGCTGTGCAGGTTGAAATATGACCCTTTTTAATTCATTCCATTTCCCCATGCTTCCCTGAGCTTGGCACTACAACATTTTTAGGACATTTAAGCATTGTTAAAAAGGGCATCAAATCAATCTGATATCCAAACCAAAATCTCGATATCTTTACTGCATGTAAAGAAAACCCCCCAGCTCATTCTGAGGGGATCGTGTGGAAGGCTCTGATTAATTTTTCATGCAACCATACCCATGTATTGACCCATATATTGCACTAAAGTGAGACTACCTCTTCTGCTTAATTTTTTTTTTTATATTTTCAAGTGAGGTAAGCAAAACCACAAACAAAGTTTCCCACCGTTATAGAAATGCAGTCTGCTTCAGGCTGGAGACTAAAGTGGACAAAATTCAGCAAAAAACCCCAAAAACAAAACCAGAGAGGGACTCGGACCATCCTGAAAAAGTATTTTACTGCAATTTATAACAGCAAAGACACATGAAAATATTTTGCTTCTTTTTTTCTTTTATGTCAAAATTATTCTCCAAATGTATTAAATTTACGTCCTAATATCAGTATGTAGCACTGGGAAATGTAATAAAGGTGGAACTGAAGTT